GGGAGAAAGATGTGGCAGTCTGCTTCTGTAAGGATTTACCAGCCTTGGAAACCCTATGGGGCAGTTCCACCCCGTCCTATAGGGTCACTATGAGTCGGAATCAACTCGACGGCAAGGGGTTTAGCAAATCTTGTACTTAATTTACCAGTTGCTTCTCAAGGCTCAGTTTCATCAGTCACAAAACAGCGATAAAATTTAGATTAAAGCAAGGGTATGACAATTAAAAAAAAATGTATATTAGAATAAATTGATGAGATAATATATAGCAAAACCTGAAATAAAACAAGATATATTAAAATACTACTATGTGTGGGGCACATATTAAGCTCTCAGTAAGTAATGTTGGTGGCTATAATCACCACCCCTCATATTGCTCTCTTCTGGGTATATAGTTAGCAATTCAACAATAAAATCACATTTAATACCATCATATTTCTAGGCTACTACAATGGAGGCAATAATTGGATGTCCTTGTGCCTACTGGAGTGGCACCTTTTGCATGCATATGAGTAACCTGGGGTTCTAATTATAAGTGCACATCCTTCTTCCATGGTTCTGCGATGAGGTCCAAGGTTCTAAACTTTTAATAGGCTCCCAGGTGACACTGATACTGCATTCTAGGGGCCACACTTTGAGTGGCAAGGCCCTAGAAGATGGAATGAGCTGCCCGAAGAATTTACAGATGTGAAACATTCATATTCTAAATCTGTGAGGCTAAATAATTTCTTATTTAAACAAGTTAACAATAAGTCTGTATTTTATATTGGAGAATTATGGTCGATAATATGTGAGTACAGAAGGGGCAAATGAATTCTCCTTAAAAGCTCAGTGTGGTCCACCAGCCCTTGTCATTCTACTTCCCCAGTAATCTGTCTGTGGATTTGCTGATGCAATCACTGTGGGAACAGTTTGACCCTGTCTATGTCTATTCCAAGCATCCCTGGTGGCACAACGGTTAAGCACTCAGCTGTTAACCGAAAGGTTGGCAGTTCAAACCCACCCAGTGGCTCTGCAGGAGAAAGACCTGGTGATCTGCTCCCATAAAGATTACAGCCTAGCAAATCCTATGGGACCGCTCTATTCTGTCACATGGGGTTGCTATGAGTTGAAACCGACTTGACAGCACCACCTAACAACACAACATGTCCACTCTGCCTTGTCCCTTTGGGTTTCTGCTTGGTCACATATGCAGGGTTGGTTTTCTCTCAGGCTCATTGAGTCTGGAGCTCTACTGTCTCTTTTACTATTGTGCATGAGCGTATTTTCATAGGTACTACTACAGAAAATCTGACTCAACTAGAACACATGGGGTGATATTTTAAGTATTCCATATTTACAATCCTTTTGGAAAGGAATTTATCAATATCCAAAAAAACCCGACATACGTATTTATCCTTGGAACTAGCAATCCCACTTCTAGGAATCTACCCTGAAGATGCCCTTCTGTGGTAGGCAGAATAATGGCGTTCCAATCTGTGAATATGTTAC